TGATATTTTAGCTTGATTGACCGCAACTGACCGAGAACTTAGCCGAGCCCTGATATCAGCGTCGTAACAAGGGCGCATTTAATACTCCCTTGCCTCTACCTTAGTATCTGTAGCCTGATTAGCTGCGCCCAGAAGCTACATCGCTACCTATCTATTGTTAGACACACTGCTACCTCTAGTAATGAGTTCTGGAACGTAAATAAAATTCGAATAAAAATTGAACTTCTCCTCCGCCGGGAGCCTCGCTCTCCCATGAGCTGATCATTCAGTCACCGACAATGCAAAGCAGAGAACGGCAAATTTGAAAATGGAGTGGCAACCAGACTTGATCCTCAGCCACGCTTTAAAAGAATAGAAAGTGCATTATATTTGTATTGAATTAGAGCATAGTGCCATGCGAATATATAAGCAGACCTGTGTTAAGTTCATATACAGTCAATTACTATGGCTCCAAGAAGCTACACACAGGGAGAGCGAACGATAGAGTATCATCAAGACCGCCATACATCCATTCATACTGAAACTTCTCACACACTATTTCACATGCACAAGTGCTCAGGTTACAAGATTTTGATGAGCAATCTATTCTCCATGATGCTCAGGAGCTTGCATCACTCACCTAAAGGGATGTTGATTGTGTTGATCCCCTTTCCGGACGCGATTTCAATATTCAAAACAAAAGATAGTCTGATTCGACACCCTTGGATCTGGTTTGTAGGAGATGGTGTTGCTTAAAAGTAAAGACCGATCATCAAACATTCTCGTATGAATTGAAGCCATGCATCCGGTATACAGGCCTCTATGCGTGGCATGAGTTCAGTCAAGAAAACTCTTTGACCAAGGACATCTCAGAAGTTTATGTGGTCAAGGTTGACCAAGAATGCAAGCGTATTTGGGTGTTGACGGATTCCGAATCACTCTCGTTTTGCATTTTCGGTTAACTAAGATCGCCGCCAAAGTACTTCAAGCATATATTATAGACAGCCTATGCTTCAGACCTATTCATTCAACATAGACATGGGCCAGAATGACTAAGATAGGATGAGATCATTGAGCAACTTCCAACCTGTCAAATATTACCATTTGTTTGTGTACATATATTCTTGAGATTTGAAGGGCACATATACGCCAATCTGGGATGAAAAGGGAAAGGGGCCGTCAAATATGCCTGATGAAGGCCAAATCCTTGGGCTTCATTGCAAACTGATCTCAAACAAACACACCTAATCATTCAAGTACTTGACAAATTCTCTGTGACGCACAGACATAGCACCCCAGCACAGATGAAAGGTGCAGACCATTCAATTGCTGACTCGCATAGATCTTCAAAAAGTTGGACAAAGGCTGATAGACTTCCATGGCTGTAATCATATCTGTACCGGAGACAAAGCCGTTGTTACTTGCTTATGAATTAAAGAAGGCAGAATATTGGTTGGACTACATTTCAGTCGTGAGTGCAAACACCTAGCTTATTTAGCATGAAAAGCCTGAATTAAATCGACATTGATGCCTGAGTCCACTGGTGGTAAAATTTTAAATTGATCTTTTGGTTATCTTAGCCTAAAAAATCGAGCAAAGACAATATTGGTAGCAAGATCCATACTCAAAAAATTCTAGCACAGAGGAAACTTGATACAAGAGGGCTAATACTTTGAGAGCAAAGACAAGGCTTTGCCCAGGACGGAACCTCGAAGCATGGGCGTTTGCACTGCTGATAACCAGAGCACGCACACGGTGCTGGAGTTTATATATTGATTCTCACAGACAGGAGCCCTTTCCCTGGGGTGGTTAGCAGTATTTCATTATAGAGACTTTCATATGCACGGTGTACCAAGGGCTCACCCGCGTCGTATCAATTCTGCATTAGGAAACAAGATACAATAGGTGCTGGCCTCTGATCTTCTCCTTTGTTTAACATGATGAGAAGTGTGTACAGTACAAGCTCTTTGTCCGGTTAAGTATCCTTCTCTTTGTCGTGAACCAGATGCTTCTGCCCGTTTTGGGATAACAACCGTGATGATGTCGCTTCGAAATCTTCTAACCGTGCGTTTATCCAATACTGGGCGCGAGTATTCGCTTAAGACGAGCTATACATGGCAAACACCCAAGCTGTGTTACCGCGCTAGATTCTCAAGCTCAGCATATTTGACGAAATTTCGAGGAGACTGGCACCAATTGAAAGTATAATGACCAATTATTGCAAAAAGATACTATAATGGTCTTTGATCGGAAGGCTATGGCCGCTGGGCAGCGCTCAGAGGATCAGGTTGAACCTCTGGAGAGCTACAGACCCGGAGGATATCATCCGGTTTATCTGGGGGACAGAGTCGGCAACCATTTTGAAGTTGTGCATAAGCTTGGTTTTGGACCGTCTTCTACCGTCTGGCTTTGCTGGCATAAAGATGAACGGAAGTGGGTAGCTCTGAAGATCTTCACGGCCAAGGCGTCGTGGCAGGACAGACCAGAGCTCGAGTTGTTGAACGAGCTCAAACGAAGCGCTTGTGGCGACCGGAATGAGCATTTTGACCGGAATGAGTGGGAAAGGAATGGTATTTACTTACCTTGGGAGTATTTTTGGATCGAAGGTCCAAATGGGCGGCATCTATGCGAGGTTCTCCCAGTTCTCGGCGTTTCTTTGAAAGACGAGTGGAGCTGGGGCATGGAAAGCAGTCAGATGCCTTTACTTAAAGAACTTTTATTTCAAACTGTCTCCGCCGTCGATTTTATTCACAGCAAGGGCATCTGTCATGGTGCTCTGGAACCGTCGAATATCGTTATGGAAATCGAAGATATCACCTTCATGGAAAAAGACGAGTTAATGGAATTACTTGGTAATCCAAGAATTAAACCAGTAGTTGACGCGAGTCAAATCGGCTACTTAGTCTTACCAGCTCGACGAGACTGTCTCAAGTTGAAAAAGGAGAGAAGAATCGCCATAATCAATTTTGACCTTTCCTTTCGTCCGTCGAGGCCACCGAGCTATCGGGGCATATCATGCCGGTACAGCGCGCCGGAGATGGTCTACTTGATGCAACCATCATTTCCTAGTGATATATGGACATTGATTTGCACACTGTTTGAGATACGAATGTATAGGGGACTTTTCGATGCGGCGGAAGATAACGACGAGTTGATGTTGATATCTGTATTAGAGGATAGTATTGGACCTCTACCCGAACCCTATCGCGCCATCTATATAAACAAATTCTTAGAACTTAAGGAGGTTAGAGGTCCCGGTTTTTGGCGCGATATACCGCCTGAAAACCCTCAGGAAGGCATCGTTAGTTTCAGAAGATCGCCGGAAAAGTGGCGAAGGCGTCAGCTCGAGCGCCAAAAGAAGACTGGGTGTACTGATCCTTTCGAAGTTAATCTTGCCGAGACAGCAGATGAGCATTGGGATATAGCTTTCCCTAAGCCGGAGTGTGAGCCTCGCCATCAAGAAATCAAAATGTTTGGTGACCTGCTTCGGAAGACCTTCAAGTGGGATCCCGAAGAAAGGATCGATATTGCTGAACTCTTGCAACATGAGTGGTTCCACGATAGAGAATCCTTGATAGGTTGTGCCCAGACACCGAAACCTACGGCTGAGCCAGTCGAAGATGAGGCGATGCCCGAAAATCAAGAAGACTCTTCGGGTGACTTGAAAACGAACCAGGTTGTCTCGAAATGGCCAGCATGGCTTCCACGAATTCAGCGGACAACAATGATTCGCACAGTCCAGAGCTGGATGGCACAAGTTTCACGGGAATTTCTTATGGATTTTGGTTTCGGGTTTCTCATCTTTTCTCTCCCAGCGATCTTGTTAATATTTTTACTGTTCCTTCGCAACTTTGGTGGGGGGAGCACTATCTACGAACACTCTATCCTCATCATAATTTCTACAATTAAAACGTCCACCTCTACCTATTCTCAGGGTTTACTTGGACGGGAATTCAAGATCATATCACCAGGAAACAATGGGACTGGATGCCATTGCAATTGAGTGGTCAGCCAAAAAGGGGGGTAGCGTTGGGATTAAACTTGGAAAATTGTTACATGCCGCTGATTGTGGTTATGTACTTGAGAATCGCGACAAAATGCTGAAATCAGATCTATTCAAGACTTGAAGTATCTAATCCATGAGAAGGCTTCATGTTGCCCCATACTGTGCGATCAAAAATTGTGTGTGTGATAAAGCCGAGACTTGGCAGCCATTGTGAACTTCGCAAGTACTTCATCACAACAAAGCATGCCGGAACGTGAGGTCAGTTCTTGTAAAACAGCATGAGACTGCGATGAAAGAGATTGTCCAAGTAATAGGAATGATTGCGTGTCTTGGACTTCTCAGCCTGGTTCATTGTGATACCTCCGGCAACGGCTACGACTGTGACTCATCTCCCACGCTACCCACAATCAAACATATATTGTAATAAGATTGTGCCGTTCATCAATCAAACAAGCTAGCTAGCTCAGTGGAAGAGCGCCGGGCTCATAACCCGGAGGTCGATTGATCGAAACAATCGCTAGCTATATTTCTTTTTTCTTTTTTATGATTTTTCCCTTTATCTTTTTACATATCTAGCTTCTCGAGATGGTTAAACATGGTAACCTTATTTTTAGATCAAATCCTTAGTAACAAATTGCTTTAGCTCTGAAAACTAAACCTGCATGCTTATATTTAAATTTAAATATCCTAATTGTGAAAAAAAACTGCTCTTAAGAAAGTGAAGATATGTTAACGTAGAAAATGTGGAAAGTGCAGCTCAGGGTTTGGGTACCCTTGGTGGGAAAGTACGGAGCATAAAAAATTTCCCGGCCGCTGGACCGGACACGGCTTGCCGGGAAATGCCAGTAAGAATTGGAAAAAATCATATAAAACAAGCTGCAAGCTTCTAGATAAACCAGGAGCATAGAAGAGTATATCGAAAAGTGAAATAAAAAGAAAGAAGTAGAGGGACTCTAATAAAACGGACTGGAGCAGCCCATGCTGGTGTGATAAAAAGAACACAAAAAATTTATCCCGACAACGACAGGATTCGAACCTGTGCTCCCGAAGGAAATAGATTTCTAGTCTATCGCTATAGACCACTCAGCCACGTTGCCGCCGACCTCCCGGAGCTGTTGGGTGCTCGAGGTGCTGATTGGATGATTCAACTTTGATCGTATATTGATATATATCTCATGTGACCAGTGTGGGATGGACAAGCGATGTGGGACGCTTATTAGATGGCGAATCCTGTGGACCTGTTGGACCTTTTACTACGCAGGACCTGGTGGGTAGATTCATGTACCAGAATTAAAGCCTCTACATTAACATCATTACCACAATTGAGCAATGGCTACTACAACGAGCTTTCAGACCCGCTAAACTAGCACTCGGAGCTCTATCCGCGGCCCTAAGGCCAAACGACACAAGTCATGGTCCTTTTGGGACCATGACATAATCACCAACTACTGTCCAGCCATGCCACAGTGTTCATGCTCCTCGGCAGCCGCCGTTACACTGATAGAAGAAACTATTAAGTGAAAGAGGTAATTGACTTTGGAATGATATGCCAGGGCCAGATGCAGAGCATTTGAAGCATCCATGACGATGGTAAATGAGTCTTGCTCTCATCGCGATAGCACTCATCTGACACTGGAAGGGCATGGTTAATAGCTTTTGTGTCCAAGCATCGCCGAAATGAGATCAAATCTTTCTAATCATTCTATTGCATGTTTTGGGCTGTATCCATCGAATCTCGTTTCTTGCCCTGAACCTTAGAGCCAACGAGATTTTGGTAACGTAACATTGCGTAGGGTTTACACACATGTACTCAGGTTCTTATAGAATACTAGTATTCCTCACATGTGATGCGCTACGTAGTATATATTGACATGATATGCTATTTAAAGAACCCGAAGTTGGCAGTTTTCCAATCCATGCTAGAGCGGGAGGATTTTCCAATGCAACTAATCCCTGTCTCTTCTGCATGTACGCTGTGAAGATTCTGCGCCGCTTCTCTTTAATATATTTTGACTAATAAACTACCCACTTATCTATAAGTTTTCATGGCATCCTGGAATCTAGACTCTTATTCACGTAAGCTGAACATATGGTTAACGGAAATTTGTCAAATATCCTGGGCCGTCACCGTTCTTGCGCGTCGATTTTCAAATGTAGTGCGAGGTATTTGGCCGAATCTCGGTGACAAACACAGGTCTGGGAAGATTCGGCACACGTTGAACACGAAAGCCGCCAAAGGAACCTCACAAGTTGTCAAACACTGCTCTCATATGGACAGTGGCGCCAACGAGAATCTCACAAACAAAAGCAAGCTTCTAAACGAAATTGATACTAAACAAACTCGATTGAACTGCTAAGCCCATGAGACGCGCATAATTTAGGCACGCACATGATCACGAACATCGTATTTCATGGTCACTGAATTGAGAATACGACTCTTTCGACCCATCTTCTATAAAAAAACAACTAGCCGAGAATATTGGTAGCATAGCCATTGCCTAGTGGATACCTTGAGACAGCGCGTGCCGGTCATTTACCGGCATGACGCAAATGGTCCCAGCGGTCGGGCACTCTTGAAGAGTGCCGGTACAACCGTACAGTACAACGAAACCCGAGACAAGACTGGACTTTCTCTTTCTTTCTTTGAACAATTGGCGCACGTAGAAAATATTTTCAAACGCCTCTAGATCTACGCAGCTGCGTTCGCATTTGTCAAAAGGTCGCAACTGCATACTCTTTTGCCGTGACGAATACTTGAGTAAGTGCGAATCGCGTTGTTGGTGTGAGAAGCTACCCCGCTGAAAAGTTGGTAACTTGAATACGAGAAGATCATCTGGAGACGCCATGGTCATTGGTTGAGCAAGCCGTGTTCTTTTATTCCTTCCGTGTGGTTGAACCTGATTGAGACCGTGCGAGCAGGAAGCACTAACAAGGAAGGGATTTGTGCTTAGAACTTGCTTTGCTTTCCAGTAAAATCAATAGCTGGGAGCTTCATCTTTTGTATATAGTTCCTTTGGCTCTCGCTCTTCTATGGCGATTCCAGTCAAGGAATAACCACCAACTCCCACCGTAATAGCTAATATCAACCGAATCTCGAACATCACATCGTTCTCGTCTGTCTGACTTTGTCACAATCCTCTGTATTCACACCTACGCAACTTTCATCTACTCAATCACCATGCCGGGCCTCATTGGGACCCTTGCCGTCATCCTGCCTCTGGCAGCCGCCATGCCACGAGACCTCTACACCCGCAGCAGCAACCACACCTCCTGCACAGCAATCTCATCAAGCAAGAACTTCAAATGGAATATAGTCGACTTCGTTTATCACGGTAGCTACGTTTTCTCAACACCGGCTCATCAAATCGACTCCGGCACTGTGAACTTCAACCTATCGAACCCGGCGACCGATGAGAACATCTCTTGTTCAGCCTATAGCGATCAGCTCGAAGATTTCTTCTATGGCACCTACAACTACAACTGCACCACCCCGACCGGGTCTACCACCATTACATCTTTTAACTACAGCACGCCGTCGACTGTACTCAACGTCAACCAGACTTGGGAATGCACTGACGTTAAGTGTTCCAAGCCGTAAGTATCCAAGAATATAGACGACTGATTGACTTGATCGGTCGACTCACTGACTAACTGTGCAGAAAATCGTTCACTGCTCTGGGATCCATCGACTTGAATCTCAGCTGCACCGATACCTACTATCAGAACCCCAACTGGACCGAGGGCGAGATCTACTCTACCCGCACCATTGACTGCAACCCCGTTACGATTCCTCTCACGCCTTTCAAGAAAGAGTAATTAGCTGGATGGGAGTTACTTGGCGTTATGTGTTCTGAGTTGATCATGGAGTTGGGACTCATTCATTACGGTGTCTTCGCAATCATGGAAAACGGAGGTCAAGGGTGTTTATAGACACGATCCCATGGTACACCCTTTATGAAATATTACGGCCGACTAGCAGAATAGACTCGTCAATTATACACAAGGTATGCTTCCTTTGCTTTGAGGGTGCAATGACAGCATTGCGCGAAGGCATTGCGCCTAGTTCGTATTTCTTCTCTCCCAATAATTGAGAAAATGTGCAAAACAGCATTTTTACATGTTCATTCCTGTCATAGTGATAAGACATTGTGAAGAGGATTTGAATATGTGGATCTAATACCATATTCCGTCTTGTAGATAGTATTGATCTGACCCCTCCTAACATTGGTAATTGTAAGCAAGTGATTAGCATTTCGAGATCGTGGGATCATGAAAATCCATCTCAAAGGCATCAAGCTACGTTTACTCGTATCTAGATCTTGAATGGTGATCATAAGTCACAGTGTTCAATTTGCATGGTTAGATTTTGAACTTGGAAGTGTTCAGTTTGTATCTTCTGAGAAACACAGAATGTCCATGCAACGATAGCTCAACAACTTGAACTGTATGACGAACTTATCCGACAAAGCGGCAGAGGTATCTTTTGACAGACCCCACTTACCGCTCAGACCAAGCTAGAACGATCGGCGCGTGCCAAGCGCTAGGCATGATGATGTCGGCGGTCGGCCATTATTGAAAGTGCTAAGGCACCACTGAATGACCCATCATCATCATTACCACCCAAAGTCAACAGACACGTTAACGAGGTCAGGTGAAGAGCGACGTCTCTATTACTGCTCACGCTCTCCCAATTCCCTTTCTTGTCGTCTTTCTCTGCAGTTCTCCTTATATTTGAATCATCTCTGTCTGCCTGTTGATCGCACATTCACCGTCTGCTCTGTGGCATTCAGTCCTACTCTCACTCACTACAGCAACCGGGCGGTCCATCGTCATGGCACCTCCCGCCGAGATCAGCATCCCCTCAACGTCATTACACACGCCCACCGATAAATCGAAGCCATACACACTATATAACATCACTCTGAGGTTGCCTCTGCGTACTTACGTGGTCCAGAAGCGCTATTCCGAGTTTGCTACACTCCACCAGACTCTCTCTTCCCTCGTCGGTGCCCCTCCGCCAGCTCCCCTACCGGGCAAGTCTTGGTTCAAATCTACTCTCTCATCACCCGAACTCACTGAAGAGCGCCGTCGCGGTCTCGAATCATATCTCCGAGCGATAGCCGAATCCCCCGATCGACGATGGCGAGACACTGCTCCTTGGCGCATCTTCCTGTCTTTGCCTGGTGGTAACAGCGCTAGCAATAGTGCAGCGAGTGTCAGGGCGGGTCGCGGCATTCCCAATAAGGATAATGCGAATGCTGCTGCTGCCCAGGACCCCGGTACTTGGCTGGATTTACATGCTGAAATGAAGAGAGACTTCCAAGAGGCGAGGAGGCATCTAGCAAAGAGAGACGCCGCTATCGAGAACGCTCCTGCCTTGGAAGCCGGGTCGGCTGCCAAGAAGGCTTTGGTGAAGGCTGGTGGTCTAATCATATACCTACGCGATGGCCTCAAGACCATGGAAGACGCTAAGAGACTCGGCGAGGGCGAGATAAGGAGACGGAAAGACTTACTGGCTGCCGCTCGCGTTGACAGAGAAGACCTGGATAAGCTGAGCTCCACTATCTCTGCCACCGCGAAGGCCTCGCAAAAAGGCGCAGCCCTATCATCCGATAAGGCCGCGTTACTAGGGAATGCAGCATCTAAAGGTCGTGGCAGAGTCCTTGGTGCACCACTCCCCGAGACCGAACGAACGAGAGAGCTGGATAATGTCGGCGTGACACAACTTCAGCAACAAATGATGCAGGAGCAGGACGAAGATGTAGAGGCTTTGGCTAAGATCATAAGGCGTCAACGTGAAATGGCCGAGGCTATCAACCGAGAGGTCGAAGAACAGAACGAGATGCTCGATCACGTCTCCAGCCAAGCTGACGTCGTGGCGAACAAAGTGGGGGTCGCAAAGAAACGTGTAAAGAAAATATCATAAGATTACAGAAGGATTGAAGAGGTGTACTTGCTCCTTGTAGATCAAGGGGCGTGCTGGCCTGGATATTTGGGTGCTTGGTTTACTCGTTTGCTTGCTGGGACGTACGGAGTTGGCTAGACGAGGCTGCATACTGTGAGCGATGACTTCTGCCTGTCTTCTCTGGACGCACAT